CACCCAGAGCTTATGAATGTGACCTTATTTGAAAATAGAGTCTTTGCAAATGTAATCAAGTTAATATGTGGTTATGCTGATGTCAGGTGGGCCCTTCATTCATGTAACTGCCATTTTATAAGAAAATATTTGGACGCAAAGACAGAGATACACAGGAAGAGCAATGAGATGACAGGGCAGAGCTTGGAGTAATATGTCTGTCAGGCAAGGAATGCCAAGGCCTGGGGGCTCCACCAAAAGCTCAGAGAAAGGCATGGAACCTTGTCTCCCCTAGAGCCTTCCAAGTGAGGACAGCCCTGTGGACACCTTCATTTCAGACTCCTGGCCTCCAGGCTGTGATAGAATATTTTTGTTTATATCAGAAAAAAATTGAAATATATAACATGTTAGAAGGTAAAAAACTGTTGTATGAAAGCATTTAAAACAGAGTAAGTGGAATTGGGTTCCGTTTGTGAGAGGGAACTGCAGTTCCACTGGGGTTCATTGGGAATGTAGTGTTTGGACAAAATCAGGAATTTGGTGACAGAACTAGGATTGCAGAAAAATAGAGAAGACCATTTGAAATTGAGCAAACAACTGGTAAAGTTTCCTTTTGAAGAAGCATGTCTGAATATTTGAGGATCAGCAAGGAGGCTGACATAGCTGGAGCGGAGTGAGTGAAGGGAACAGCGTTAGATCATGTGTTCTCAACAGAGGTGATGTCAATGACAATAGGACGAAATCTGATTTTTGAAGGTATTAAAAAAAATCCTACTTTATGTATGAAGTACAGATATACATAAAGCACAGAATGAAAAATGTAATATATTTGTGGTTTTGAGTCTTCATGGAGATGGATTAAGAAAGCATCTCTGTGAAAGCTCCTTAGTGGCTTGAAGTTGAGGGAGAAAATGAAAAAAACTAAAAAAAGGTTGAGAAACATTGTATTAGAGGATAAGATGCAAGAGGTAACAGGGCTCAGATCATCCAGGCTTTGTAAGGCTCCATCTTCTTCATCATGAAGCATGGAAAGCCACTCCTAGATTTAAAAAGAAAAGGACTTGGGCCGGCCGAGTGGCGCGATGGTTAAGAGCTGACTTGGGACACCAGAGGGCCCCGGTTCAGATCCCACCAGTTCAGATCCCACATATGAGGGCCGGTAACACTGCCCTCCACAGCTAAAATGCTGAATAACACCTCAACCTGGAGCTGGGTTGCTGTGGGTCGCGGGCAACGGCGTAGGCTGCAGCCCCTGTGGCAGTGGGTTGCCATGGGCTGCTGTGTGTAGCCAGCAGCCAGCGTGAGCAGCCAGCAGCCNAATGATAATAAAGAAAAACAATAAACCTAGAGAGTAATGTAGGAGATTATCTTCTTGAGGTTTGACTGATTCCAGAAGTAGGTCCAAAATGATCACTAACACCCAAAACGATAAAGTAGACTGTGCTAACATTAATAATTTCTGGTCATTAAAAGACTCCAATATGTGAATAAAAAAGTAAGTCACAGGGTCTAAAAAGCTACTTGCATCTCCTAAATTCAAAAAAGAGCGTATATTCAAAATATGATGAGAAATGCAAGGAAGGAAAATGACAGACAACATACAGGAGAAGTGGGCAAGAGACATGACAGGTACTTGTCATTCTCACAGAGGAGAATGTCATGATTAGTAGCCCAAAGGATGTGTTCAACCTAAGAGTAATCAGGAAAATACCTAGTTTTCATCATGATACTTTCCTAAAATGATAAAACATTATAACATTAAAATTCCTAATAATACTAAGGTTTAAATCAAAGGACTATTTGGTAAAATGTGTATTTCTTCAATAAACCAATATAGTTGCTGGAATAATTTAATAAATTTGACATCACATACATTTATGACCCTGCAATTTTATTCTGAGGCATAGAAGACATTATATTATAATTACACACACATACAATTATAATAGAGTTTTATTTATAAACTATTATAAATTTTGTATTTATGTTATATAAATACAATCTATTTTACATAACATGTGTATATGATATATAAATTATAAACACATAATATTTGGAAAAAGATGTACACAAGAATTTTTATAAAATATTATTCATGATACCCACATTAAGACCACTATATTCTGAATAATATAGATTAAAAATGTCATGTAGATATAATATAGCAGCAAAAATTAACTACAGATAAATGCAATATTATGTATGAGGTGCAAAAATATCATATGGGAATGAAAGGATACACATAAAATGCATACTGAATGATCCCTATTACATGAAGCTTAAATTTAAGCAAAGATAATTTGCAATATTAAAAAATCAAATAGTGGTTAAGTGAGGGGAGGGGGAAAGTTGTGAGAGAATACAGAGGAAGGGGCTATTGTGGACTGGAAACTTCTATTTCATGATCTGATTTGTAATTACATGGGTCCTTCCAGTTTATAATCAATCTGCACAATCACAATATGTTTAGTTTCCTTGATATAATTTTAAATTATATACCAGAATACATACTAAACTTATTATACACAAAAAGCTTTTATACACCATGGTTGTCTATGGAAAGTAAGAACTGGAAATTATTAAATGTGCATCAATAGCATGAAATATAAATAAAATATTAAAGGGTTGAACAATAGACTATTAACAGACTTTAAAACAAACTACAAATGTATACAAAAACATGAACGAATACTACAAATATGATGTAGACCAAAACAATCTTTTAAGAAAATATTAGAAACATTTAAAATCTTACCATTTCTTCTTCATTATCTATATAAAGCAGGTTAGACTTCTTAGAAGCACAGGCCATCTGACTCTCATTCCATGCTTTTCTTTCAGTGTTAATGTAATAACAATTGTTGGAATATGTTAACCACTCCTTCGGACAATGTCTACGATGATATGCTAAAAAAAATTATTATTCTAAACCAATTACAATTTTTAAAATAATAATTAATTTACCTATTTGTAAAAGTAAAAACATTTATGTGCATAACATTTATGTGCACCCTCACTGACTGGTACATATAAAACAAAATACAATCACACACACTCACAGGCAAGGGTCAGCCTCTCACCCCCTAAATTATGCGCCCAAATTAAGAAAACACACAAACATAAATATCCACACCAACACACGTCATGAAAGTCAATGAACAAAACCACATTTTTAGAATAGCAAAATTACTTGTCTCACAGTATAGCAGGAGGAAATGTGAGCCAATTGGCAATAATGGGTGTGGTGATTTAAAATGAACATTTATTCATATTACTCCATAAGAAGGAGCATTCCTCTAAAATTATTACTTTATGAACACTTATTGCCCAATATGTAATTTATATATTCCAAAACCCCTATTATTATTTTTGCCTCCCCTGAGTTACAGAAAACTATAAACTGTACTAATATCAGAGCTTTGAAAATCATTCCGTACCTTTCTGGATCCCTGTTGTCAAGGAGGAATTTTTCTGCCCTGGAGTTACAGTAGCTAGAAAAATAATTCTTATTAAAAAGTAATTCTTATTAAAAAGTTAATATTAACCTAAATAAATCGTAATACTTTTTGTTTCTTAGTTTGAAATTTGGTATAATGTTTAGAATTAGAATAATCTGAAATAAACTTGATTTTACAAAGAAAAGTTGATGAGTTAATGAAGATTTGGGGAAATATTTCAAAAACTTAAAAGATGAAATTGCACTACAGTATATGATTTAACCAATCTCAAGAATTAATTTGTATTTCTTGAAGGTGTTTTAGTCTCCTAAAGCAAGTCTTTGAACCATGAAATCAGAATATATGTGTATATACGTACATATATTTGTAAATGTTGTCTATAATCATTCTGATATTTAATCTTTGACAAATTCAGTTAACCATTTCACATTTAGTCTAAATGCATACATTATAATTAGAGGGTTATTCCATAATATTATGACATATTTAGAGGCAATGACAATCAACCATTAAAGTGGAAAGTTCCTTTATAATCTTTCAAAAATTTACTTACAGGGAATAACAGCTATCGTTACCACAGAGGACAGCAAGACAAGGCAGATGAGTCCCAGGACCCCAGCAATGAGCTTCTCTGGAGGTGATGGAAAACCTACAGGGAGAGAAAGGGAAACACTGAGGAAGTGAGATGGAGATAATTGTTTAGACAGTTTACACACAGAGAAGCCCCTCGCGCACAGGGAATCATACACATAAACTTGGACCCCAAGCCCATATCTACCATTGCATCTTCCTCTCAGACTATATACACCATTACATTGTCAGGGAATACAATGCTCCATGAGTTGTTGGTCAAAGACTACACATTACAATGATGCCTGAGTAAAATTAGTCTCAGATTTCATATTAGAATACTGTATTCCAACTTCAAGCTCTGATTCCCACAAATAAAACATGTTTCCCCACATATNTTAGCATAATGTTCTCTAGTTCCATCCATATTGTTGCAAAGGGTACTATTTCCTTCTTCTTTATAGCTGAATAATACTCCATTGTGTAAATGTAGTTTCATTTTTTTGCACGTGGCTTTCCAATTTTCACAGCACCATTTTTTTAAAATGTTTTATTTTCTACCTTGTACGTTTTTGGCTCTTTTGTCAAAAATTATCTGTCCATAAATATGTGGATTTATTTCTGGGTTCTCAATTCTATTCCATTGGCCTGTGTATCTATTTTTCTGTCTAATCCATGTTGTTTTGATTACTGTCACTTTGTAGCATAAATTGAAGTCAAGTAGTGTGATGCTTGAAGCCATGTTCTTTTTTTTAGGATTGCTTTATCTATTGAGGCTCTTTTGTGATTCTATACAAATCTGATGATTATTTGTTCTAATTCTTTAAAAATTTTCCTTGCATAGATATTTCTCTAAAGAAGGTATACAGATAGCCAATAGACATATGAAAAAATGCTCAACATCACCAATCACCAGAGAAATGCAAATAAAAACCACAATTAGATATCACCTCACACAACTTAGAATGGCCATCATCAACAAGACAAATAATAACAAGTGTTGGAGAGGCTGTGGAGAAAAAGGAACCCTCATACACCATTGGTGGGAATGCAGATTGGTGCCGCCGCTATGGAAGGCAGCGTGGAGATTCCTCAAAAAATTAAGAATACAACTATCATATGACACAGCAATCTCTCTGTTGGGTATCTACCCAAAATATCTGAAAACATTTATCCGTAAAGATACATGTGCTCTGATATTCATTGAAACTTTATTTATAGTGGCCAAGACATGGAAACAACCAGTGTCCTTCAAGAGATTTTTGGATAAAGAAGATGTGGTATATACACACAATGGAATACTGTTCTGTCAGAAGAAAAGATGAAATAGTGCCATTTGTGATAACATGGATGGATCTTAAGATTATTATGCTAAGCAAATAGGTTAGACAGGTAAAGTCGAGAACCATATGATTTCACAGATATGTGGTATATAAAACTGAAAACAACAAAGGAACAAGACAAATGAAGAAACAAAAACTCATAAATGCAGGCAATACTTTAGCACTTACCAGAGAATAAGGTGAGAGGAGGGTGATAGATAAGGTTAAAAGGGATCAAATATATGGTGATTTTAAGGAGAACTGACTCTGAGTGGTCAACACACATGATACATAGATAATGTATTACAGAATTGTACACTTGAAGCCTATGTAATTTTAATAACAATTATCACCCCCTTAAACTTTAATTTTTTAAAAAAATTTTCATTAGGATTTTTATTGGAATTGTATAGTGCTTTGGGTAATATGGCAATATTAACAATGATAATTCTTCCAATCAATGAGCCAAGAATATCGATGTATTTCTTTGTGTCCTCTTCAATTTCTTTTAATAATGTCTTATATTAATAGTTTTCACATCCTTTTTAAAGTTTATTCCAAGGTATTATATTCATTTTTGTCACAATTGCAAAGAAAATTTTTCATTTCTTTTCTGACACTTCATTGTTAGTCTGTGGGGATACATAGATTTTTGTACATTGATTTTGTATCCTGAAACTTTACGATATTTGTTTACTGTTTCTAATAGTTTTTCAGTGGAGTTTATAGGGTTTTCCATATAAAGAGTTATGTTATATAACAACTTTGTAGTTCTTACACAATAATCATGAGGGCCAATAAACAATTTATTAATCTCAGCTCCAAATCTGTCCTTCATTGCCATCTCTGAGATAATGCACCTAGATCCCATAACTTTTTCTCCCTAGTCAACTCACATGATGTTGTTTTGCCTGAAAAAGTCACTGGCGAGGCAGTGCCAGGGAAAGGATCTTGTTCCTGGTTCCATGGTGTTTTCTCTCCATTGGCTTCTGTGGAGTGGCTGCCAGTTGCACGCATGCTGGAAGTCCTGTGGTATTCACCCTCCAGCAGTTATTGTGGCCAGTCCCAGTCATGGTTCCATCTTTTTCAACCTCTGCCAGGGGACACCATGGTAGGGAGGTCTTCCTGCTTGCCAGTCACAGTCTGAGATCCGTCCTCACCAATAACAGCCAGAGGATTGTGGAGCTGCTCTATCCCAGGGCAAACCAACAAACATGTCTGCTGTCAAGTTGTCTGCAGCCGCACTGTGTTCAGTGAAGCCTAAAACTCATCTGGGGGAGTAGACATGGCTCCCAAATCATCCTACCTTTGGGTATTCTTTTTTAACCCCGGGTATTCTTTATAATTTTTCTTTATCTCCTCCTGTTTGTTTGTAGGCTATCTCCCCTACAAAAGCTTAATAATTCTTTAAATCAAATTTTCTCTACTTTTTGTCTTTTAATTCCACTATGACTTATATATTATGCTAGCCTGTGTTGCTGAATCCTCATTTCAACATAGGACAAAGCAACTAATTCAAAAATATGGAATTATTCTCCATACTGAGTGAGAACTTTGAAGCAAGAGCTCTTGATATTAAAATGTGTAATTTACACATGATTTATTCTAATAAATAGCAAAAGCTTAAGAAACCTATAACATGTACATGGATATCTATTTTTAAAATTGATAAAAATAAAGATTTAAAAATAATTCTACAACACCCAGGGTGAAGCCTCACATAAATTATGGATTTTAAGTGATTGTGATGTGTCAATTCAGATTCATTCTCAGTGGCAAATGTACCATTCTGGTGAGTGATGTTGATCATGGGGGAAGCTCTGTATGTGAAGGGATGGGGAATACGGGAAGTCTCAGTACCTGTCTTAACTTTGTTGTGATGGTAAACCTACTCAAAATAGTATCACAAGAATTCTAAGAAAATAATTGTATAGTTTTTAAGTAAATTAAAAATATGAATATGTTCTTTGTAGACAAGATTTATACCAATTTTAGATAAGCTAAAGTGCCTGGTGCTTACAAACATATCGTTTTATCTCTAAACAGGGTTCGAAATAAAGGTTGTATGTTTCGAACAACACAGATGTACAATTCCTCTTCTCCTTTGAAGATATTGAGAACCTGAAATACAGGGAATAATATATCATTATTCTGGTAATATATGAACTGCTACTTTGATAAATAATTACTTTACTTCGACTGATATTTACCGGGGGTGCCCAAAAAAAGTGCAAACATTTTGATATGTTATCTATGTATCAACGTTTCTCAAGCAGTAGTTCACCACAATCAGAAGTCTCCGGATGCTGATGGTAACCAATCTGAGCACCTCTTGTAATTGCAGAAGCCAAATGTGACTTGTATTCATCTTTTCTTATTTGTATATGTTGATTATTACACTTTTAACATTCTTTTTTCCTTTCTTAAAATGTGTATACATTATTTTTGCACACTATGTATATATCTATGCCTGAATAGTCCTTGTATAAGTTTTGTATGGAAATACTTAAAAAGTTGTCTTCATATAATTGTCACATATTGCTCTTTCTTTCTAAGATTTCTTACTTCAAAGCATAAAATATGAGTTCTCATGAAACTTACATTTTGGAAGAGAAAGTTGGGCTATCTGGCCAAACTAACAAACTATTATTTGTTCTGTAGGAGAGTTCAATCCATGAATAAGAACTGAAGATGTTCAAAAAATTCTATGAGAAAACAAACTGCATCAGAAGTCAAATACAAGCTTTTATATTAATATGAATTTTTAATGGAATATAAAGTCAATTCTTTCTGTTTTATACAGCTTCTCAAATTACATTACATACTTACACACTGGACATAGTAGGAACATGCATTAGTATGACTATGTGAAAAGGAATATTGACACAAATAATTTGAAGGTTGCAACAATTGATCAGAGACTAATAGTAACTTTTGACTTATTATTGGAAAAGCTCATAGAAATTCAAGTAAGAATGGAGCAAATCTGTAGTCTTCTTTCCTAGGACTGCTCCTACATTGCCTCCCACCCCCCCACCTCAGCTCAGTGAGTAAGAAGTACTGTAGTTTTTATAATATGGAGAAGGCTGCAAAAATCAGTGGTGTTGTTGCCACAGGGGCAGACTTGATTAGAAGTGGGAATGGGGTGCTAAATTGCGATCTATTTTTTCACCTGAACTTACAACATTAAAGAGAGCAAAACCCACCCTTTTTCTAGTCCGAGCTTGCAGCCTCCTTTGTGTCCAGCACAATGCCAGCTTCAAATATAATGGAGAGGAAATAAAAGGGAAAGTACAATAGAAGAGATGACATTAACTCTCTGCACGTTCTTGGCTGATGAAACAAATATGCACTTGTGCAAAGGAGATAAAGATGGTCCCAGTGAAAACAAAGGCCAAAAGGGACTTGAAAACTAATTGCCAAGTTATGAGCACTCCCCAGTACACATAAACACACACACAAGTACATCAAATAACAGAGGGTGGGAGCCCTATTTACCAGAGGTATTTGAACACATTAAAAATATATAATCATTGGTTGTCAACCAAGCTGTGCATACACAAGGGGAATACTTAGGAATCAAGGCTAAAAATAATAAACAATATAATTTTAAAACTGAAAAAGGATATAAGCAAACACCCTCTATAAGAGAAGATTCTGCAGTAAAAGTTTCGCAACTTTCAAAAAACAATAAACCTAAGAAAAATGAAACAGAATTCATGTTTACTACACGATATTGTCAAAATTGCCTAATCATAAATGTTAGAAAACATACAAAAAATGCCTTCTGTGTTCAGGGAACAAACCCGGTCAAAAAAGTCTTTTACTATGATAAAATATTAGATTTATTAGAAAAAATTTTTAAAATAATTACTATATAAATTATACAGAAAATTATGCTCAAATAAGTACATTTGAATATGATGGCAGTGACAAAACATACAAAATAGAGAAATGAAAACTACATAAATGAATCAAATAGAAACTGTAAACTGAAAAACATTTCCTGAAATGAAAAATTTACTAAATGTACATAAATTTCGAGACACAGAGAGAATTAATTAAATTAAAGATGGAGTGTAAAAAATTATTGACCCCAAAAAGTGAATTGAAAAAAGAGAGAAAAATAAGCAGATCCTCAGAGCCCTTTGAAGCAGTATGAACAAAACTAACATAGGTGTAAATATACACGGAGACTAAGAAGAGAGATAGAGACAGAAGAACAATTTTGAGACATAACAAATAAAGAACTGTTTAAATTTAATTTTAAAAATATTGTAGACTTACAAAGCTCAGCAAACTACAAATAGATTCA